AAGCCACTTGCAGTGTTCTTGGTAACTTGGGTAATAAGAATCAAAGACAGTGATCTAGGGTTTTTTACCACATTCCTGGAGGAAAAAATGAAGGTCCACTGCTGAAGAGGCTAAGAAATGTCATCCTGCCCTAGCCAGTTTGGCTCAGGAAGGCAGGCAGGTGAGCAATTGGGAGCCAGTAGTCCTGGATTGTGAGAGGGATCCCAGATTGGAGAGGGTGCAGGCTGGGCTGAGGGACACACCCCTCCCCTGTGCATGAATTTTGTGGACCAGGCCTCTACTGTTAAATATAAGTGACAAGAACAGACATCTTTGCCTTGTTCCCAGTCATAGGAAGAAATTCAATATTTCACCATTAAGAATAATGTTAGTGTTCGGATTTTTGTAGATGTCCCTTATCAGGTTGAGGAGATTTCCTTCCAGTTCTAGTTTGCTGAGAATGATTTTGTTTATTTGTTTTAACCAGGAAGGAGTATTAAATTTTATCACATTCCTTTTCTACATCTATGGAGGAACATGTGACTTTCTCTTCTTTAGTCTGTCAAAAAAGGTGAATTATGTTGAGTTTCAATGCTATACCAACCTTATATTCCTGAAATAAGTCTTAAAGTGCATGTGTGTGTGTGTGTGTGTGTGTGTGTGTGTGTGTTTAATGTATTGTTGGATTCATTTATTTGCCAAAATTTGCCATACTTTTGTTACAGTATCTATGTTCATGAGATATGTTGGTCTGTAATTTTTATGTAATTTATTTGTCCAGTTTTGGTATCAGGATAATGATGGCCAGGAAATTTCCCTTTCTCTTCCATTATCTGGGGTTGTGAATAATTGATATTATTCCTCCTTAAATGTTTGGTAGAATTTAGCAGTGAAGTCATCAGGAACTGGAGTTTTCTTTGTGGGAAGGTTTTTAACTATCAATTCAATATATTTCATAGATATATGATTATTTCACATTATCTGTTTCTTCTTTAGGTAATTTGTGTATTGCAAGGATTTATCCATTTCATCTAAGTTATTGAATCTATTGGCATAATACTGTTTATAATATTCCCTTTCTTAGAATTTTAAAGTCTGTAGAATCTATAGCAACATCTCCATGTTCATTCTTAATATTAGTTATTTGTGATTTAATTCCTCTCAAGTGTATTGAGAGTTGTTTTATGGCTCAGAGCATGGTCTATCTTGATGACTATCACAAGTGCATTGGGAAGGCATGTATACTGCTGGTTGCTGGGTTGAATGTTCTATAAATGTCAGGTCAAGTTGGTGGGTAGTATTGTTCAAGTCTTCTATCTTTTTATGGATTTGCTGTTTACTTGTGCTATAAATTAGTGAGAGCGAAGTGTCAAAATGCCCACCTAAAAACTCTGAATTTGCATATTTCTCTCTTCAGTCATGAAGCAGTCTTTGCTTATGTATTTAAACCTGTCTCATTATAATTGTTGTGTCCTGTTGATGAATTGAACTCTTTGACATTTTGAAATATTCCTCTTTATTCCTTTATTGATTGTTCTGAAGTTTACTTTATCTGATAGTAAAATAGCTTTCTTTCTTTCTTTTTTTAGATTCTTGAGAGAGAGGAAGGGAAAAGGAGAGAGAAACATCAATGTCTCCTTCATGCCTCCTACCAAAGATCAAGCCTGCAACCATGTGCCCTGGTTGGGAATTGAACCTGCAACTTTTGGTGCAGGGATAATGCCCAAGCCACTGAGCCACACCAGCAATGGCAAAATAAGCTTTCTTTCTATTAGTGTTATCATAATACATTTTTGTCATCTTTTTCTTTTTAACCTATTTATATCCTCATATTTAAAGTGCATTTCTTGCCGAAACTGGTTTGGCTCAATGGATAGAGCGCCGGCTTGGGGACTGAAGGGACCCGGGTTCAATTCCGGTCAAGGGCATGTACCTTGGTTGCGGGCATATCCCCAGTGGGGGGGGAGGGGGTGCAAGAGGCAGCTGATCGATGACTCTCTCTCTTCGATGTTTCTAACTCTCTATCTCTCTCCCTTCCTCTCTGTACAAAATCAATAAAATATATTAAAAATAAATAAATAAAGTGCATTTCTTATAGACAACATATAGTTAGGTCTTGCTTTTTCATCCAATTTAACAATTTCTGCCTTTTGATTTAAATGTTTAAACATTTACATTAATGTTTAATATGGTCAATATGGTGGGCTAAATCTATCTTCTTAATATTTGTTTTCTATTTGTCTTATTTGTTCTTTTGTTCCCTTTTTCCTTCTTTCCTACTTTTTTTAGACTTTTTAATTATTCCATATCTTCTCTACTGTGGCTTATTAACTAAATCGTTTTTTACTTATTTAGTAGCTTCTCTAGGGTTTATAATATACACTTTTTTAAAAATATTTTTTATTAATTTCAGAAAGGAAGAGATAGATAGATACATCAATGATAAGAGAGACTCATTGATGGGCTGCCTTCTGCACACCCCCACCGGGGATCGAGCCAGCAACCCAGGCACGTGCCCTTTACCTGAATTGTACCTGGGACCCTTTAGTCCACAGGCCGATGCTCTCTCCACTGAGCCAAATCGGCTAGGGCTGTAATATACACTCTTAATTATCATAGTCTATCTTCAAATAATACACCACTCTATGTAGAGTGTGAGAACCTTACAACAATATACTTCTAACTCCTCATTTACACTTTGTACTACTGTTGTCTACATACAGCTTTGGCTGATTCAAGTGTATGTAACTATGTCCATGATCAATAGTCCCACAACACAGCACACAGGGCCCACTAAATAGGGCAAAGAAAGAAATAGAATATAATGTCCCATGTTAGTAATATTATTTAGGGAGAGACTGACTGCAGAGTCACAAATTAATCAGAACAGCCACCAACCAGCCTTATCCCTGGATCAGGGTGCTCAAGGGCCTTTGTTGCACCAAGCATTGGCCTTTTATTTGCTGGGTCATGGTAGTGTCTAGGAGAGGGCCAGGCACTTCCAGGGCTAAGACAGGGAGAGGGAAGGTAAGGTTCAGGACAGTAGTTGTTTACTAAGCAATTTAGAAGTAATTCGGTATTTTAACACTGGTTGGCCATTCAGATGCACACCAGTTGTGTTTATGTCCTAGAGGTAGTGAAGTACCCCCGACACATACTTCTTTATGGAGTCTCCAACAATTTATGGCATGTTTGCTAATACAGTGTGAGAGAATTCTCTGGGGCACAAGAAGAGGTTGATCCATCAGCAGAGTCAAACATAGGAGGCAGAGCAGAAAGAAAAGAGCTTACAAGTGTCTTATAAATCAATAATGGCCGGTATTTTAGTACTTGTCATCTATCTCTAAACCTCTTAGCAACCTTTTGAATGCACTATTTTCTCAATCTATAGATGAGGATTAGGAGGTAAGATCAAGAATTTGCCTAGGGTCATATGGCGAAGAACCTATATTATATCTATGACTCACTCCATTGCTCCTTTTGATCAAGGTTTTTTTTCCTTCCAATATGTGAAGAATTTAGTCACTTAAAAGGGTTTAATTTGCACTAGTGTTAGTGATACCGAAGAAAGCCCAGGCTCATGCCTCATGTCTCTATTCCTGACACCTCCATTAATTACCTTTCTCAGTCTACAGTGGGAATCATGGCTTGAAGCTGGAGGAACAAGATGGGTTACCAAAGCCCCAGGCGTGTGGGAAATTCACCTCCTAAGTACTTAGCACTCAAGCAACCCAACTCCACATCCCTTCATTGGTGCCACAGAAGTGATCCTAAGGCAGGACACCCAGAGCCTGCAGCCTTTCCTAATTCAATATCATCCATGTGGTATGGGTAGCAGCGCTTTAAACTGAAAGTGGCTCCTGCCTTGTATTACTACATCAAAGGATCAAAAATAAAGTGAGTTTACATTTTCTATTTAGGGTAGCATCCTTTCTCTTATGTGGCCTTACTTGTTTTTGAGTGGGAAAGTGACTCAGCTTGCTCAATGATGAATCCATTACAGCTTTTTAAGTCTGACAAATTATATATATATATATATATATATATATATATATATATATATATTTTTTTTTTTTTTTTTTTTTTTTTTTTTTCTTTTCTGGAAAAGAGCACTAAAAACTACTGGGTCCCAGTCAAAATACACAAAGCTGTGAGGACTTTCCGTAACACCAAACTCCAAATCTGTGACCAGAGTAGGAAGTATCATCACTAATGTAATAAAACTAGTGTGGTTTAAAAGAGCCTTTGCTTAATAATAAACACACCTGCTGGCTTAGTGTAGCAACTCAAAAGCAAAATACACAAAAAAAAAGCTGGCCTCATAAACATATTCAACTGTGGATGGACTTTATTTTCTACTCTCAGAATTTAACAAGACTGGACCTTTATAAAGTCACTAAACATTAAAAAAAAAAAAAAAAAAAAGCACCCTCAGTATGCAGTTTTATAGTATTAAATAAGTATTTCTGTAATATAGAGTACATAGGTGACTATATTTTTTAGATTTAAAAAAGAAAGTATTTTCTCAGTACCAATTTAAAATATTCTACCTCCAATTTACCATTTGATAACTAATTTTCACTAAAAAGTTTGAGATTATCCAGTCTTACTCAAAAATGGCAGAGATCATTGACAGAGTTCAGTTTCTTACTTCATTTTATCAGTGCCCTGGGCTCTGTGCAGCAGCTGCCTTAACAACATATACATTTAAGTGACTGGGCCAGTCTAAGTATCTGAGAAGATCCCTTCAATGCTTTTGCTCACAAATGCCTCCTCTTTTGAACTTCAATAAGCAATGTTTTCTGATGGCGGATTGAAGACACACGCATATTTTTCTCCTTGGAATGAGCAAATGGGGTACAGTGGACAGGAAGATAAAGATTTCAGTTTTTCCTCAGCTGATTCCAACTTCCTTACGCTGATTGAGACTCCTCCAGAAAGTAGGCATTTAATTGTCCAGCAAGTCTTAATTTTAGGAGGTGCTGTGAGCTCTTTTCACTTCATGTGAAATCCTGCTTTGCCAAATTAATCAATGCAGTGAATTTTGGTGAATAACCAAATGGCCTCAAGATATAATCCAAATTTATTTATGATTCAGTTTGAGTTTAACAAAATGGCAGGTTGTAAAGTGTTTCAATTTTTCTTTTTTAATTTTATAAAGGAGTTGAAAGAACTCTGGTGGATATGAAGACTGCTTTGAAATGATAGTTACTACCATGATGTCAGAATCCACTAAAAGGGTTCACAGTTAATAAAATGGTTTATACAGTGATCAAGAGCAAGGATTCTAGTTCCAATCTTTGTTGTATTACTTGTGTGTTAGGGAAATAACTAAGCATCTCTATGCCTATATTTCTTCATCCATAAAAATTTATCACCCCTATCATTCAAGAATTATACTAAGCCCTTTGGGATTCAAAGATCATCATATATTTTATTTTTTATTTATTTTTATTTTTTAAAATATATTTTATTGATTTTTTTACAGAGAGGAAGAGAGAGGAATAGAGAGTTAGAAACATCAATGAGAGAGAATCATTGATCAGCTGCCTTTTGCACCCCCCCCCCCCCACTGGGGATGTGCCCGCAACCAAGGTACATGCCCCTGACCGAAATCAAACCCGGGATCTTTCAGTCCCCACACCGACGCTCTACCACTGAGCCAAACAGGTTTTGGCATATATTTTATTTTTTTAAAAGTTTAAAACCTAGTTAGAGACAGTAGTACATAAGAAACAGTACATAATACAATACACTGGAGGCCAAGTGCACAAAATTGGTGCACAGGTAGGATCCCTAGGCCTGGCTGGTGATCAGGGTCGATCGGAGCCTTCTAGGTGTCAGTCAGGTTCTTCCTTCATTCCGCGCCACCCTCTGGTGGTCAGCGCACGTCATAGTGAGCGATCAAACTCCCAGTCTCCTGGTCAAACTCCCGAGGGGACACTTTGCATATTAGTCTTGTATATATATATATAGATGAGGTGGGGAGAAGAGGGAGGGTGGATTGAAAGTGTGAACCCTGGAGAAGATTGCCTAAATTGAAATTCTAGCTCCACCACTTTGCTGAGAAGTAGAGCAAGTTACTTAACTCATGAGCATTAGGTTCATTTCTAAAATAGTGATAATATTTACACATGAGTGTTTTATGAAAACTAAGAAAATTTAATAGAAAGAGCTCCTCAAAACCAATGAGGTACCACTTTACACCCACGAAGATGGCTATTATAAAAAAACAAAATATCACCAGAAATAACAAATGTTGAAAAGGATGTAGAGAAACTAGATCCCTGGCATACTGCTGATGAGAATGTGAAAATATACAAACACTGTGGAAAACATTAAGGTGGTTTCCCAAAAAAATTAAAGTTTATATTATGACCCAGCAGTTATA